ATATATATATAAAACTTGTATGTTAATAATAACTTATATATTTATATCTTCTATTACGTCTTTCATAATTTTTTTTAATATCAACTTAATTCTTATACATTTCTTACTTATCCTAGTATTAGCTTTTGGATACATATTTTCTAAAGTTGTTAAAATCATATCAATATATAGTCATTCATAAGTACTCGTTAATGAAAAATAATATTGTAATCAATAATAAATCATTTTTTATTTTAGTTTCTTAAAAAATAGATATAATCAAGGAATCTAAGTCTTTTTAAAACTGCAAGTTCATAGAAATTATATTTATCATCAAAGATTACTTAACATGTGATCACCAACATGATTTTAGATTTTCATGTCCATTTATTTATTATCATTGTTCAATAATTAAAGTAATGAAAACATATTTTAATAAGTCAATAAATTAAAATATAGACTTGTAATAAAACAAAGATACCTGATTTACGGTAGACTCAAAAGATTCTTTCATTGCTTTATGCCTAGAATTTTCTTCAGCTGTCAAGGAGGTAGCTTCTAAGATGTTTTTCTGGAGCTTTTGAATTTCTTTGTCATTTCTTAGCTTCAAACTTTGGATCTATATGAAAAAAAAAATCCATAAACTTATTAATAATGATATAATATTTATTCAAGAATATATAATGAAATTGTAGTAAATTTACTTGGTTTTGCAATTTTGAAACTTCTTGGTTCAAAAGTTCATTTGTCTTCCTCAGACTATCAATAAGACTTCTAGAAAATCCTGAAGTTCTAGAACGTTGTGGACTTTGTCTTCTTGAATAAGGAGATGTTGGTCTTGAGTTGAGAGGTGGAGTTGGTGGTGGACTAGGAGCTCTAGCAGGCTTCATAATGCTTTGAGTGGAATTTATTGAACTTCCGAATGCAATATCATTTAATTGTAGAAGTGATGGAACTTGGGAAGTTATAAGCATAGAAGAATAATCATATTTGTTTCCCAACTTATTAGTCCTCATATCACTGTATTTTAATGGATCTATGATAGGTGGCAAAATAAGTCTTGCAGACTTTATTTCTCCTTGGCCAAATTTTTCCCTATTGACGTCTATGGAATTACGAGGTGCAGTAGTGATTTTTCTATTAAGATTGGCAGCATTACCTGCCTCAACAGCTTTAAGCTTATTATAACAAGAGTCACACACACGATGAGGTTTTCCTGGTGTTGGAGCTAATGCTGCTTTCAATACTTTTCTTGAACTACAACTATGACAATGCACCAATCCACAATTATAACAATTATGTCTCTTTCTAGTAAAACCAAATGGTTGTCTACAACCAGTGCAAATAGATTGGTCAACTCCAGAGACCCATTTATGAATGCATATGCAAGATGTAAAGTTTGAGCCACAAGAAATATTTTTTACATGTCTATCTCTCAAGGATTCAATAAGTGTTGGAGATTTTCTATCCTCTATGTCTCCATGTCCCAATCTTCCATTAGCACCTCTCCCCCAAGTATATAATTCACTTCTTGATGTCAAGGCAGCAACATGATGAGATCCACATGATATTTCCTCAACAAATTCACCCACTAACTTATCTTGTACTAGGATAGGTACTTTTCCATCAGCTAAAGGATTTCCTAGTTGACCATATTCAACATTTCCCATAGTAAATATATGACCAGATGTAGTAAGAGCAACAGTCATAGTGTGTCCACAAGCTATCTGGTGGAAATTATATTCAATAAGTGTAGAGACACATGTGGGTTGAAGGTATGTTTCCTTGTTTCCATGTCCCAAGCGATATTTGTCGCCATCGCCCCAAGTGAAAAGCTTTCTAGATGAAACATTTGAACCTGATTGAAAAGTAACCTCTACAATAGCTGCAGTATGCCATACTCCACATGCAACTTTAATAGTTTTCAGTCCACTTAATAATTGTACCTCCTTTGGATATGCCACACTTTCTCTATTTCCATGACCTAAAACACCAAATGTTCCATCACCAAAGGTAAACAGTTTCCCATTAGAAGTAGCTAGTGCTGAATGCCATGTGCCACATGCAATAGATATAACTTGAAGTCCTTCTAAAGGACCACTAACTCTCTTTGGTATCCAATGGCTAACATTAGTTCCATGACCGAGAAGTCCAACATTATATGTACCATCACCCCATGAGAAAAGATCATCAGATGTAGATACAGCGCATGTATGATTCTCTCCACAAGCAACAAAATCTATATTAGTAACTGCCAAAACTTCAACAAGTTGAGGGCGACCAAAATCTTTATCATTTCCATGACCAAGTCTTCCCCCATATTCTTCTCCCCAAGTAAAAACCTCTCCTTGCCTAGTTACTAGAGCAATGTGTCGTACACCAGATGCAATTTGTTGAACATCAAGAACAACACTTGACTCTAAAGGCTTAGGAATCAACACATCTATTGTGGAAGGAGATTGAGTGCCAAACCCATCAAGTGAAACACCATCTGCCCAAACCTCTCCCCATATATAAACATCACCTAGTGATTCTATGTCATCTGGTCCGGATCCTCCACTTGAACAACTAGGTGTACTTGACACACTAATACGAAATCCATCACCAATACTTGTTCTTGGTTGCATATTAGCACAATCTAACCTTGCATTTGTGCCTTCCAAATTCAATGAAGACTCACGAGAAGTAAAATTAAAATAGACACTTTTATGAGCAATGCTTATTGCAAATTCTAGTGTTGCACCAAAAGGACTACCATTTGAAATAAAATTAACACCATCCTGAAAATTGAAATTTGAAAAGTACCTAATTAATGTTAACATGCTCGTGAAATATAGACTTGTAAGAAATGATTGCTATATGAAACAACAAATGTTTATGATAGAATTACATAGAAAGATGGAACACATTTCACAATATGTACTTATGTCAATGCATGATCAAATTAATTAAAAAACAATTAAAAACTTGATTATTTATTTCATATAATTTCCATTACATAAGATTTTATTTAAGTTATTTTTAAAATTTGATTATTGATGTGTCAAATAACATAGAAATATTGATACTTAATTTATGATAAATGTTTTGAAATATATTATCTTACAATGATACTTTATCTTATATGTTGCATCAATTATTTTCATCTTTATGCATCATTTCAAGTTTTTAACTTAATAAATAAATATTTACAACGTACAAGTTTTTTCTTCTTCAATTTTTTATATCAAAATTATTATAAAAAATATCTTAGTGAAAATGTTATTTAAAAATAAAATAAATGAATACAAATATACTCATAATTTTATAAAATATAATGAATATATTTATTCATAATTTACTAAATTTATAATTATGTTATACATATTAATATTTTTAATTCAACCCTAATTATATTTTTATCATGTTAATTATAATTTAATAATAAATATTGATGTTAGATTATTTTTAAAATAATTTTTTTTTCTCAAATAGTAACTTATAATTAGCATTGTTATAAAAAAATGTTTAATATTTTAATTATATATTAAACTTTTATATCAATTGTTAATGTTTGATAATATATTATGTTATTGTATGTGTAAAATCATTTTTCTTAAGTAATAATTCATTAATTGCATTGTTGTTGGTACTTGTAAAGTTAACAAAGAAAAAATAAAATAAAATCATCATTTAAGTTGATATAATTGTAGAATTTTCTTTAACTTAAGAATTAGAAAAATTAAAGTCTCTAATTGCAAAAGTTGTAAATATCAATCCATAAAAAAAATTTATAAGAACAAGAATTCACAATAAATCATCCCATGAATAATAAGTAATTAATAATATAATGATCATTGCAATAGATCGATTCATGATAAAACTCACATCAAATAATTTCCCTCTGACGCTTTTAGGTACAAATTAATGTCTTAAGACTTGTAAACCATACCTCAGCCTTGCCATTGTCCTTGCATATCTAAAATTAAGACCAATAAAATCACTTTATTCAAAATTTTGCAACAAATATTGAGAAATTTGAATGCAATATTAATATATTTTCTAACCAAATCAAGTGTTTGCTCCCTATTATTATAAATAGGAGAAAATGAAAGATAATTCTTTTTCTAGTTGCAAATATCTTCTAAGGATAGCCTATAAAGAAATCGTCACAAAAATATGAAACACTTTTAAAAGATTGTTGACACCGACATAAATATCAACTAATATCCCATGATCAAGTATATGTTACTTACAGTTCTTTGTCCAAGGATAGTATGAGAAACTAAAGGCAATTTCAATTTCCTTTCCTTCTTGTAAGAAATCCAAATTATTGTTGTTTCGTCTTGTTAATGCTACTAGATATGAAATTATTTAGAGATATCAAAATCATCATACTTGTGTTTACTTTAGATATTAGAATGTGCATGTTTTTATATTCACATTATATTTAATTTAATAGTAAAACCTCACTGAAAAGAGTCTAAATAGAGAGATTTTGAATAAGCAAACTTTTGACTTAATTTTTTTATTCTACTTTATTAACTGAGTTCCTTTCTTTAAGGCAGTAAATGCCTTCAAAAAAAGTTGAAACAAACATTATTAAGTCCTAGTTAGTGATACATCTATTTAATCAAAATACTACTTAATAAATTATAGCATCAATGAATCATGTGACGTATCTAAACATATTTCCAATAAACATGACTTTTATTTTTCTTGTAATTTTTTGTAATAAGGTTATCTTAATTCTTGTTAAATAAGAAATAATCAAGAAGTGTGCAATACTATTTCTATTTTTGCAAATTATCAACTTATTATTTTCAAAACATCAACTAGTTGTTGATACTACATCAAATAATATTGCTCAAATTTCATATTTTGTTTATGTAATTACTTTCATATATTTTTTCTCCTCATTATTAATTATTCAATTAAGATTTTTCTTTCTTTCTTATGCATGTGACTTTGTACAATACATGTAATGGTTCATCTTTCAATTTTCCCTTAAAATTTTTCTTGACATAAAAAAAAATGCAACTGGTTATGGATATTTGTTATCTTCAGCCAGCTAAATTGCTTTAGTCAAGGAAAAACACATTTTTACTATAAAAACTAAAAATTTAAAAGAAGTTTTAAATTGGTTTTAATTTTAGTGTTTACCATAGCTACAACAAACCATGATCACATACAACATTAACACAATGGCCAATATCATCTCATAATGACCCCCAAAGTATTACTTACAGTGATTATAATCATAAATGTCAATCAAGTGATAACATCTTAATTGACATTAATGTCCTAAAACAACAATCCTAAAATTTTAGTTTGTTTTCATTATGGACATAATTAGGTTAGTTTTTTATGCAAACACAAAAATAAATAAATTGAATAAACATGTTTTAATTTTGATCACATTCACAAAAGGAGAAAGAACACATCTAGAGCAAAATAAATTTAGAAAACAAGTTAAGAAAAATAAATAAGAAACTTAAGTCATAACTAACTTGCTCAATATCATGCTCAAGACTTCCATAACTAGCGAGATCTGTCATTCCATTTGCAAAAATTTGTAGGGAATGCCAAAGATAAAGCTCAAGCGATAACAACTGCATCAAAATCTCCATAGATAGGTATGCTTTGTGCCTTGACCTCTCATCAAAATTTCTAATGATGTTGATGAAAATTTCTAATAATTGAAATGTCACACAAGAACCTTGATTATCCTTGCATGTGCATTTATTGGATCCAAATGCAAAGATGAAACATGTAATAAAATTACATACAATTACTAAAAAATGAGAATAAAAAAATCAAAGGGGGTGGTAAATGGTATGAAACAATGAAATTAGCATCAAGTGTCTCAATTTCTAGAAAAATTAGATTTTAACCAAAGAAACCATGATAATAGTTGCAGATCAATGAAACAGAAAGAAGAGAGAGAGGAGGCGAAATGAGTGGAAAGTAAATGGTCAAATTTCCAAGAAACCTAAAACTTAAGAAAGTGGGGTACTTACATTGTGTTCATGTCCACTAACTAACTAAACGTCTTTTGCCACTTGGCTTCACAGATACCCATATATATAAATGTGTGTGTATTATATAAATATATATATATATATACACGCGCGCACATATATATATATATACATACATATATTTCTCTCAAGTTATTAATTTGTGTATGTTGTGATTAAAGTTATTTTTATGAATTTTTTTATATGCATCACTTAGCTTTTAGAATTATTTAAAAAGGTATAACCAACCATTTGTTCTTTATAATTATATATTTTAATTAGAAAAAATATTATATTTGTTGAGTTATTTTGATTTTTTTTTTCATTATTTACCATTCATTGGTTATTTTATTTTATTTTGATACATAATAAATTGCATTTTTCTTTATCCAAAGAAACTTATATGGTTTACTCTTTTATTTTAAAAATTTTGTATTTTTATAAAAGATTAAAATGTGATGTATTTTAATATACTTAATTCAATGTGAAAAAATCATGACAATTTTTTTCAACTATCAATTATGGATAATTAGTTTTGAATCTTCTGATAAAGATCATTAATTTTTCAACAACCAACAAAAAACAAAACTTAAGAAATAAATTATCATTTTCAACCAACATGGCCACGAAAATTGCTCACTCAATTGATGCAAGAATTTGACAATTTAATACAACAACAAAATCCCAAGAACTCCCCTTACTTCAAGTCACCAAGAAAAAAGAAAAAAGAAGAAAATGGTTTCTTCCCGGATAACTTTACACAGAACCACCATCACAATTTCAGCTCTAAAACTCTAAATCACCAACCAGCCACCAAAAATCACTCTCAAGGGAAGGATAGAAGAAAATGTGCAAAGTTAAAAAAGAATGTGGTTCTCCACGATTCTAAAGTCTCTCTAACCTTTTTTTTTATTAAATTTTTATAAAAATGAACGTATAAAGTCCACTTCTTAAAAAAGACCTCATATATCCTTTTTTTTAAGAGGTCAACTTGACATTAGCTTAGAACAACTCCTAAAACTAAAACGCATAAGAATTTCTTAACCTTTAGAGTCGTACACTATTAAACAACTAATCACAACAACATTTAGATTAATAAAATCAACACAATACATCAAATTCACAATGTTACAATTCTTCCCAATAACAAAAAATATTGTCCTTGAGAATTGACTTACTTGGGAAGAGATATGAATATTGATTGTTGAATTGTTCCTCCAACTCCTATGTAGCTTTATCCCATAAGACTTTCACCAAACCAATGGAACTGTCCCTTAATTCCTTTAACTTGTGATCAACCACAACAATTAGCCCCTTCTCAAAATTCAACTTCTCTCTAACATGTACCTCATCTTATTCCACCATATGACTCGGACCATATTAGAACATCCTCAATTGAATCACGTGAAACAACTAATCACAATAACATTTAAATTAACAAGATCCACATACACATATACATGCATAAAATTCACATTCAACATTTATGATATGACTACAATTTTCTGGATTAATGTATTATTATATAATTAATAAAATTTTAATTTTATATTATGAAAACATTACATTACAATGTTTATGGAGAATATAGGTGAAATATTAAAGTAATTAATGTAAATTACGTTATAAGAACATATTATAACTACGTTATTAATTATAAGAATATTGCACTATAAATTTAATTTTATAACTATAAAAATTAATAATTATTATAATTAATGTTTTATGACATCGTTACCATTTTGACATTAACTAATATTTGATCATGTGCAACACAC